AAGATGTAGGAATTTAGATAATGTTAAATATATAGCTTCCTCAAGGTAAGACCAGGGGGAATGTTGTAGACTGATGGGTGCTTTAACAATTCTTAAGATGATTAGACTCACAGGTAACCTTAGGCTTTATAAGGATCTTTAGAAAGAATTACACGAAAAATAGAAGTGAAGGTGATAGAAGGGGGGAGGGAGAGATAAAGACAGACATAGATGCAGATAAAATTATGAACTTAGGTGGCTCACAACTGGCTCATACTTGTAATCCTAGCTACTCAGGAAGCTGAGATCTGAGGATCACAGTTTTAATCCAGCCCAGGCAGGAAAGTACGTGAGACTCCTATCTCCAATAAACCACCAGAAAACCAGAAGCAGTGCTGTGGCTCAAGTGGTAAAGCACTAGCCCTTGAGCTGAAGAGCGGAGGGACAACACCCAGGCCCAGAGTTCAAGCCCCACGACCAGCACCACCCCCCCATCCCCAGAAAAAAAAATTAAGAACTTACTGGGTAAAAATGTCATCATCTCTCCTGTGCTGTGATTTCATTTGGTCAGGGAGTAACCCAGCATTGTCTTATAACATATTGAACACATATTCTTGACAGGCAGATTTTTCTCTAATAAACTTTAGGTTTCTCCCTTTGTAGCCCTAGGATCAGATCAAGTTTCCACCCAACTCAAGTGGGATTTTAGTTCTGGGGAGGTAGAAATCATTCAATCCAGGGAGAAACTGGTGGTAGAATGAGCATTCCCAACCTGGGTGTGACAACAAGTCCCAGAGGCTCCGGCCTCTGAGAACACACAGTCCCAGCTCTGAGACCTCCCTGATCTCACCTCGAACGTTAAACCCCGAGTGCCTAGCACTGTGACCTCTTGTCTCTGTGCACTTTTCTGGATTGGGACAGTTGTAAACTTCATCGATGTCCAGACCGTATTGGACACTTGAAGCTAATTATTCTCCCAAAACAACGTCCATCAAACGAGAGAGGGTGCAGTTTTAGAGGAACAGGGTGGCTGATCCTCCATTTTTGCATAAAAGATGAAGTATGCCTTACAGGAAGAAAATCCTCAAGGCTGAAGCTTACTTCTAGAAAGCAGAAACACTGCTGTGAGCACGCTGCAGAGACCTGGTGCTCCGGTTACACTCGCCTGACATGCTCAGGTGAGAGAGTCCTTCCACCCAGGCTCCTTAACTCATTTGACCTCACAACCAATCAGGAACTTCACACTGGGCCAGTTGCCGGGTGATACATTACAGCCAACAGCAAATCTCTGGCACATTCCCCTACAAGCCTCAAACAACTTCCTTCTCAGAGTCAACCCGCCACACTCCCCAGCTTTTACCAGGATTTGCCTCATGTGTCGTGTTACACGTTATACCTGTCACCAACTCCTGATCGTCTGGGATCACTGTGACCTGCGTCCCTGCCACCCTCTTTTCGAGAATTCTCACTGGTACACAGAGGACGGCAAAGCCCTTCATTCCCAGCCACCTCCCCAGGGGTCCGCTTGGACTGACTCAGTGCAGCTCGTTGGAAAGAAAATGAGGGGACCACAGGGCAGATCCCTGGATCCTTCTGGGTGCCTGAGAGATGACACATTTCCAGCAGCCCGCCCCAGCTCCATGACGTGACTGGCTGGTCAACACTTCAAGACTGGCCCTTCTCAACTCCTTCCCCAGACGGGCGCTGGGAGCGGGTTCCTCTGAGGCCTGAGTTTTTCTAGTTGCTACACTTATAAAAGATGAAAGTGAAATTCATTTTTTATTATGGTAAAATGTGCGGGACATCAGATTCTCCGCGTCAGCCACGCAGTTCGGCAGCACTTAGTACATCCACAGCACCATGCGGCCGCTGCCACTGTCCACTCCCACAGCCGTCGTCACTGGACACGGCCGCTCTCCACTCACAACTGATCTTTTACCAGGGAAGGATCTGGGGTTTGCATCAAGTGTGACGGGAAACCCTGGCCACCCCCATGCAGGGGTGTGCTACTGCGATTTCTTTTTTGTTGTTGTTGTTGGTCATGTGGGTCTTGAACTCTGGGCCTGGGTGCTGCCCCTGAGCTCTTCAGCTCAAGGCGAGCACTCTGCCAATTGAGCCACAGGTTTTCTGACAGTTAAATGGAGATGCGAGTCTCATGGACTTTCCTGCCTGGGCTGGCTTTGATCCACAATCCTCAGATCTAAGCCTCCTGAGTAGCTAGGATGACAGGCGTGAGCCACCGGTGCCTGGCTGCTATTTCTTTTTCAAGCGCATTCTGCTTGTGGAAGAAAACCCAGTTCCTCAGTTTTGGGTCTTCAGGGCCTTCCCCGAGTTATAACCTCCCCTGCTCCGTCGAAGCAGCTTGCTGCATGCACTGCTCTCCTTCCCGAATCTGTCCATTGTCTCTTGGTCTGCGGCCTTCTCTGCTAGTCTACACAGGCATGGTAAACTGGCACCCCTCACCCTACAGGCAGAAGAGATTTGGCTCCTATCTTTGTGTGCATACAGCATAGATTACACAACATGCAGCACATATCTTCAGATCTCGAAGTGATGCAGATTATGTTCATGTACATAAGTAAATGCAGATTGGGTGAAAAGTCTGATCCTGCCTCCCTGCTCTGTCTCAAAGAACTGAATGCTCATTATAATCCCGTTATCTGTGTCTTCAAATCTAACTACTCTGAATTCTGTGTGCCACAAAGACCAAAGCCCTGGGCAGTCCTCCAAGGATGTAGGTTGGCAATGCTGAACAGCCAAAAGTTTTCTTTTTGGTCAAGCTGGAGTGATAAAGAGCACCAATAACATGTGACTCAATGGTTAAGACCCTCAAGGAGGGGCTGGGAAGGTGGCTCAGTGGTAGAGCGCTTGCATTGCATGCTTGAGGCCCTGGGTTCGATTCCTCAGCACCACATAAGCAAAAAGAAACAAGCCGGAAGTGGCGCTGTGGCTCAAGTGGTAGAGTGCTAGCCTTGAGCTGAAGAGCTGAGGGACAGCGTCCAGGCCCAGAGTTCAGGCCCCATGACCGGACTCCCCCCCCCAAAAAAAAGAACCTCAAGGATCTCAGCTACCCTTCAATGTCCTGGTATGGAAACGATGAAGCTGCCGGAGTCCTCAAGAAACACAGCCCCACCTCCAGATGCACAGTTCTTCCCTTACAATGTCAAAAGCATTCAATTCCTTTTGTTAGCAGAAACTTGAGGTCCCAGGAGGTCCGGAAATGGGAAGAGCCCCTGCGGGCCAAGTTGGGGTTTGTGATATTGTCACAAAAATAAGAAGTTTAGAATACACGGAATAGAGACCAGAAAAGAAGTAAGGCAGAGCAAGGAAAGAATAGTCACACCAAAGAGTGTGGGCACATCTGGTAAGAGGTTACTGGGTGCTCCGACAGCTGGGGGGTTCATGGTGGGAAAGGGGGAAGGGAACATAGTTGAGTATGCTTGGGTGCTTGCTCCTCTCCGGGTCTGGACGATTGCTCTAACTATACCACTGGCTTTATCAGTTGGATTCAGAAAGATCAAGTCCGGCCCAACCAGTTTATTAAGTCGGGTCCTGGGGACCCGAGGTTTCCTCAGACACCCTTGGATGGCCTTTTTTGCTTCTTCTCTCCAAACACTTCAGTGATAAAGGAGTGATTTCACCAGATCCTCCCCAGGGGGAAGAAGGAATCCTTGCCCAGTTCAGCCCGGCTTGAGCAAGATCAGGAGCAGAGTCTGGGGCCTGCGGAGAGCTGAGTCCTGACAGTCCCTGAGTTCCTGGTTCCGCTTTCTCAAGCCTCACTGAGATTTCCGACCCAGAGGCCAGGGCTCTAATGCCTGCGACCGGCTCACCAGCCCAGGGGACAGGCACCGGAAGGCCGCCACAGAACCGCTTCCGGTGCCTTTAAGTCTCCCCCACCCCCGAGGGGGCGCTGGGAGGGGGGAGGGGAAGGGGGAGGGAGGGG